GCCATAAGGGACAGTGCTGTATTTGACCTGTTTCGAATGTGAAATTCCATTTATTTGGGGTACAAACAGTACAAGTCTCCTTATGCCAAGTAAAGTCATGGCTGTTAAATTTTTTATTAATTTTTCTCAAGAATAGAGAATTGAGTATTACGTCTGGAATGAAATCGGAAATTCATAGTAGTGCCTTAAGTACTTATTGACTTGACTTATTGACTTGAAATTCCCTTGATCTTTCCCCTTCATGTTACTGTTGGAAAGATTTGGGTATGGAGCAGCATTTTTCTTCATGTTCTTCAGTTCCTACCTGCTGTGTGGTATGTGTGTAGTGTGGTGAAGAGAAAGGGAGGAAAGATAGGAATTTATTGGACACCTACTGTGTATTCAGCTCTGTACTTAGTGCAGAAATATTAAACATTTAAATTTGATTTACCAGTATCAGACTATCTGCAGTCTCGGGCAAAGTTACATGGTATAGCTTCACTTTTATTTCCTTGTATGGCACTGGAATGCTTATTTGGACTGCATAAATCATTTCTTGAGTGAATAACTGATGGACTGTTCGACTGTATAAATATAAGTGCTGAAGGAGCTTATGCTCATGTCTTTATTCATTTTATCTCTTACTACTTCCAGCCCTCCTATTCAAACCTTGACTTAATTTCATATTTTTGACTCACTTATATTCCATAGTGCCCATTCCTTTCCCCCATTCTTAAGAATTTTATCTGGATGATGGCATTAAACTCTGGACTATCTGCCTCTAGCCTATACTCCCTTCACCCAATCCATTATCCAGATGATAGCTGCTGTCTGTCAAGCTTGCTTAGGGGCCTTCACTGGATTTCCTTTATACTAATATCAAGTCCGAACTTCTCATGCAAAGCTCTCTAGGGTAGTAATTTAAGATCATGAGATTTAGCTCTTTAACTATCATCTGACTAAACTTTTTAAGGCTAGTAATTCTATTGAATTGTACCTCATGCTTCTGAGCTCTTTCTAATTTACTCATTACTTAATAAATATAACTTAATTTTCTTTCAGCTAAAGAAAGGGTTTTGAGTAACTTGCAGAAGCATGAGGCTCCCCAGCCTCCCCTTGTTCTGCACCTGATGAGGCCTCCTGTGCCAGTTATTTCCTCAGCTGCACTACTGAGTCAGAAGGACGCCACCCAGCTGGTGTGCACAGACCTGAATCTGTTGCAACAGCAGGCCAGGTAAGACCGTGCATCCTCAAGGATCATGCTGCCGTGTTCTGACAGCCTGGAGGATTGAGTACCTGGAGTGGCTTCCTTGTCAGCATTTTCGCCATGAGGTTAATTTGACCAGACTGGCTCAGATGGTTCACTTGGTTAACTGAGTTGTGACAAGTCTTTTAATTTCATGTTGAAGTTATGTGACATCCTTATGGACTACCCATTTCACGTGTTTCCTGTGGTAGCATTTCCGAGTGTCAATGGTACCAGCTAAGATTTTCTTACGTTTCCCATGAGGAGACCTTTAAATACTGGAAAGATGGTGTCAGAAGAGTGCAAAATGGGATTTCCTTGCCTTGTCACTGCTTTGCTGTCTAACCCTCCATATTCTTTTAAAAATTGATGTAGGCACTTGATTGATGTGTGGGGAAGTCATTTAGTATTTTGAGTTCACATGGTAGATACAAAATGATCAACCGTTTAAGGTTTGATTTGAGCTTGTGATCTTGTGAGAAGGAGTGTATGTGGAGTAAGTCTGTTTTATCAACAATAAATGAGCCTTATTTTTACAAATTCCAGGTGAATCAATTGCTTATTGGCAGTTTTCGATTCAGGCATTGGTTGAGTGTGTGTTCTGTGCACACATAAACACCTGCCCATTGATGGAATAACAAATACAATTAAGACTAGTATTGACACTCCATGTACACAATTAGTTTTCTTGGTCTTTGACATTTCGGATTGAGTTGCTAATACCTAAAAAGTCATTGGTACTTACAATTAATGTACCCTTTTAGGATGATTAAATTAGGATAAAATTCTCATTTGTTCTTATATATTTAAGGGTCCACTTAAAAAATATTGTTGATATAACATAGATTCTAAATGGAGCTTTGTTTCTGGCTCGAAAGTTGTCCTACTTTTCCATAAGGCTTTTCCTTCATTTCTTAGCTTTTCTGTTTAGCCTGTCTGCCAGGGAGATGATTTGGGTAAGTCTTGGCTTACACAGTTTTGGTCTTCTGTTACAATGGAATACTTGTGTCTTGCTGTATTGCTGGCTGGGGGTAACCAGAAGCCTTCATTACTTATATAACCTTTCCTAAGGCTTTCTTTACCTCCTGATGTTTTTCAGAACTGCAGCTCTTCGGGAATCTCAGCAGGTTGCCCTGGATGGTGAGCTGTTGGACACGATGCCCAAACAGTATGTTAATCGAGAAGAGCAGACCACACTACATTTGGAGTGTAGAGGCAGTAGCGGTAAGAAATGCCAAGGAGCCGCAGTTGTAACAGTTCAGGTAAGATTGTTTAAGTATCTTCATAATTTAGAGAATTTTAATTGATTCCCTAATATTGGCATGTCACTAAGAAAGATTAAAAGAAGTATATAGCACGTGATCCTTGTCTTGAGACATTTAATGGTTTTTAGGGGAGTAAAAACACACACAGTGCTAATCATACATTTCCTTAAGTTCCAGATAAGTCCTACAAGACAGATATTTAAATAGGAATTCAAAGAAAAGCAGAATCATTGAGAAGATTCTTAGAGGGGCTTAACCTGATCCTTAAAGGATTTTGGCGATGCTAGTTGGGGTACAGTTAAAGGAGTGTGGTAATGGAGTGGCCGTGATGTCATTTAGGAGTCAGGGGCTAGATCAGTCTATTTCAAGTGTTTTGGGAACTCACATTGCACAGGTTGATGTGAGTGATCATTGGGAGCTCTAGCTATGTGCTGTGGACAGCAGGGAGCCCCCGAAGACAAACATGGGAAGGACATGTGGGAAGCAGAGTGGCTGGGTGGAGCCTGCCAGCAGGCAAAGGAGAGACACGCAACAACAGGACTGAAATGGAGCTGCCTCCCAGAGTTACCTTCTTGCACTTTACGCCAGGCCCTGTCTAAACATTTTGCATTACTTATTTTTTCTCACAATAACCCTTTGAGGTGGCTATGATCGTTATCTTCATTTCTCAGATGAGGAAACAGAGGCACAGAGAGGTTAAGTTACATACCCGACAAGTTAAGTTACATACAGCCAGTGAGTGGTGGGGCCCGGAAGGCCCAGCAGTCTGGGTCCAGAGCCCATGCTCTTTAATCGCTGCACTTGACTGCTTCTGCCAGTGAATTTGTGTTCCCTGAGCTGGGAAAGAAACGCTTGGAGATGGGCACTACCTGCTACCTGGGTACATTTTCACACAAATAGCTCTTTTTTGTTAGCTTTTGGAAATTGAAGAAAATTTATTTTACTCACTCTGGGTTGTCTTTCAAAAACTTCCCTTCTTTTTCTGCTAATCCACATTTTAACTGTTCTAGTGTATTCTTCATCAATTTCCTTGGGAGACTCTTTTCTCCAAAATGTTTTCTCTGAAATAACTTTTTTACTTACTGTATTTTTCATTATCTTCAAAACTCATTTCTGATTTTTTCAACATAGTTATATGCATCTAAAGTTAAGAAATTTGACCTGAAATTTAGGAAGAGTCCAACTTATTTTCCTGCGTTTTGTTGTAAATGTGTGACTCCTAAACATTGAGTTATCTTTGCCCAGGTACTTTATAAAGTTAGTTTTCTTCTGGTGTATTTTTTCACCAGTTATATTTAATATTAATGCTGTAGTAAGACTGAGGTAGAAGTATTTAAGAAAGATCACTTGCTAAAGTAATGAAACTGGAAGAAGAGTTTGCCAATTTAGGGTGAAGTTTGAGTTAGTGGAGAGAAAGACTGAAAATGTATCTGGCTATAATAAAAACAGGATGTCATTACCAATCTGTGTTTTTTACAAATAGGGTATTTTTCCACATTTTGAAACTACATATCTGTGCCAGGCTGTTAATTTTATATAGAGAAGGGAATTCTCATGCATTTTTGTAAGTGACTAGTGAGATTATTACGAAGAAATGTTTTTCCAACTCTGGCCAATAGCCTGCCCTGTGAAGAGTTGTCAATACTTGCTGCCCCAGCCAAAGAACAGGTCTCGTAGGCTGACCTGTTAACTCTGAGGGCCTTGCAGTGGAAAATACCACCAGGCAGGCCACTGTAACTATAAGCCTACCAGTGACTTATCTCTTTCCCTTTACAGAAAAAGGGATCATAGGATTATTTGAACCCTCAAATTGAAATTCTTTAAATAATCTTGCTTGGTTAATTCTGAAATTAAAAGGTACAAAGTAAAATAACTTCAAGGTAATTTTGATTGGAGGGAGGTCAGAAAGAAGATCGTTTATGATAATAAAGATTGATGTGAATATGGCTTAAATATTTTTACAGATGCACTGAAATTCTTTTTGTTTTCTGTTCCCAAAAGAAGAATCGGTAATTGCTTGAAGAAAGAGGAAAAAAACAATAATAAAAGTCAGAGGAAAAAAAGGAGGTTTTAAAGAAGCCTAAAGAATTTTCCAAAGTAGCTGTGCTTTGTGGCCATAACCTCATTAGAAATAGTCAGGTTTTCTTAAAGGTTTTAATTTTTTGCTGGCCTTACTCATTTGCCTAGTGCCTTGACTTTCAGTTCCATTTGGAAAGATCCAGAAGCTTGAGATCCCCCATTGATGGCTCCTAGAAGTTTAGTATCAATAATAGTATCTTCTGCAGCCAATGTTTTGCCTCATAATGCACATGCATGTACCAGGGGAATTATGTGAAGACAGTGAACAACTTTTATAGTTTGAGACTTAAATTAGATTTCTCTTGAAAGTTATGTAGTACTGTAATTGCTAATTGAGGCTGTCCTGGACAGCATTTGCTGGTTGATACTTCTAGGAATTGAAGATAAATTTTTGATTTTTTGTCTATTCATTGATAGCTAAGAACAAGGTAGAGGAAAGTTGAAACACTAACTGCTATGAAGTTTGGGCACTGTCTATGCAAGTCAATTATTAGTAGTTTGCTCTGATTTTTGGCTAAAGATTGTACTTGAATCTGAAGCAATCCTTTACTCAGATGGATGACTTTGGTTATGGATGACTTTGGTTTTGGAAAGAGAGGTGTTAATGCAGGATAGGGAGGGTGAGTTCTCAGTATTTATGACTCATCATGAAACTGTCACTGGGCGAGAGTATGTCCTGCAAAAGGTGGATTGTGTTATTATATGTAAACCTTATTTGTATACCTGTATCTTCTATGTACACATGTCCAATGACCACCTCGTGGCTATATGCAGTGGTTGTAATTGTGTTTAACATCTTTCTATCATCTCTGGTATCTGACTTCATGTGGTCTTATCTAGTCCACCTGAATCTCTGACCACTTCTCAGTTTCCAGGGTTTCCTCTTCCTCAACTCAACCCTTAGATTGAGTTGTACTAGTTGTACCTGATTCTACTGCCGATCCTTTTCTTCATATGACATCATCTGCTCTTGCCTACTGTCTGTACTGGAGTTCTTATTCTGGGGTCTGTGAATGGTCTTTAGAGAGTTGGTGAAGCCCCTGAAAGTATATGTAAAATTTTTTTCTGGAGAGTTTGTAGAGCCTCAGAGTAGTGATTAAGAACCATTTACTCACATGTTGATGACCCCGTTCTGTTTCTGTAGTCCAGAATTCTATCTTGAGTTCCAAATCTAGGTTTCCACCTGCTTCTTAACATTCTACCTAAATGTCCCATAGGTACCTCAAACTTCATAGGTTCCAAACTGATCTGATCTTTACCTTCTAAACCTATTCCTCCTGTAATTCCACATACCTAGTCTCCCCAGGTGGAGACCTGGGCATCAGTATCATCTCTTCCATATACCATCCCCCACCCCCATACTTGCCATCTAGTTGCTTCCCAAACCATACTGGTTCTGCCTCTGACATGGCTTTAAATTGATTCTCTTCTCTCTGTTTCCGTTGCCATTGCCCCATGGTAGGCCCACCTCACTTCTCTCTCTGTCTAGTCCATTTTCCATTCCATCACCATTCATCTTTTTAAACACAGATCTGGTCACATTTCCAGGCTAAAAACCCCCGTTGGCTCTCCAGTATCTAAGAGGAAAATGACTCTTTATGGCCCTTCCTAATCTGTTCTTGGTCTTTTTTAGTGGCATCATTTATCCTTTCTCACTCGCGAAACATTCATTTTCTAGCCACATAGACCGTCCCCATTCATCAAACACAGCATGCACATTCATACCTTTGTTCTTATGTGTATGCTGCATTTGTGCTCCTCCCATCCTCCTGCTCAGCCTTCAGTACTTGGTTCAGGCTATACTTCTTTTCGAGGTCTTTCCTGACTCCTCTGGTGAAATTGGGATGTTCCCTCCTCTCATTACAGCTTGTGCCTAAGTGCTGCTGCAGTTACTTGCTCATTTTATTAGATTGAACTCTTTGGCAATAGGGTTTCCATCCTTATTTATTTGTATACCTGTACCATCTAGCATGGCTCCTGGTACATGGTAGGTGCCTTTCAACATCCTTGAATGAGTCAGTGAAAGCCACCAGGACACCACTCAATTAGTTTGTGTTCCAACTTATTTTGTAGCATGACGAATTCTATGGCTGTTACTGGATTTTGAGTTATGCAAGGTCAGGACTTTGTCTTATTCACGTTTATATTGTCAGTGTTCGCAGTGCATTCCATTGACAAAATGGAATGTGGCACTGAACAACTCTAGAAGGAATGAACAACTCTAGATTTATACCCTTCACAAGTAAGTCCCCAATTTTACCTACTTTCTGGAACTTTGTAGATGTTATTTGGCTGTGAAAGACGTCACAGAAGTTGGAACTTTTTCCTGCTAGAAATTAGCAGTTCATTCATTATGCTTACCCTTGGCCAATTTAAACATCTTAGTGCTTTCCATGCAAATCTCAACTTAAATACTACACAATGCTTATCTTACGTTTTTACTCTAATACAAATGTCTCCCAGGCATTTGATCTTGGAAAGCAGTAAGGACGGTTGTACTGTAGTACACCACGTTCTTTCCAGCCCTGTTCAGAGCACTTTTTGTTACTTGCTTGGGCACTCTCACATCCCTGGTATTATGCTAGCTGCTTTGCTTGCATTATCCCACTTAATCTTCACAGAATGAGCGTGAGTTCAGAGAAACAGGTTCAGAGATGCTATAAGACTTGCCAAAATCACATGGCTAGCAGGTGGCTTAGGCAGAATTCAAACCTGCAATCATCTAAATTCAAGACCCATGCTTTTCCCATCCAATACTGCCAGGCATTTTGCTTTAGCTGCTTCAGCTGCAGCTTTTCAAGACTTGTAGTGTGATTCTGAGAAAGCTGATCATGACAATTTAACCTCATAAAAATGAATGTGTGTACATGCCATTTTCTCTTTGAGTCCATGTGATAGTACTGCCATCTTTTTTCAGTGATTAGAGAATCCATGATCTTAACTGAAAACTCTGGATTCGATCAATTTTTTACAATCAGCTTCATGGGAGATGATTTTATATTTTAACACATTGACTGCCACAATAGAAAAAAAGTTTTGTTTTTTTTTTTTTAAATTTTTTCTGCTGGATCATTTTTATTTTTTTATTTTATTTTTTTTATTTCAGCAAATTATGGGTGTACATATGTTTAGGTTACGTGTGTTGCCCTTGGTTCCCCCCCTCCCCACCGAAGTCCGTGTTTCAAGTATGTCCATCCTTCGGGTAGTGCGCATTGCACTCCTTGTGTATACAAATACCCGTCCCCTCCTCCCTCCTCCCCCCTCCTCCTGCCGCCCTTCCCGTGGTACAGATGATTAGGTTAGGTGTGTTGCCCTTGGTTCCCCCCCCACCGAAGTCCGTGTTTCAAATATGTCCATCCTTCGGGTAGTGCGCATTGCCCTCCTTGTGTATACAAATACCCCTCCCCTCCAAAAAAAGTTTTTTCTTGGAGCCAATGGTGTTTTATTATCAAAATAGAATGAAAACTTTGAAAACAAAATGATCCTTTCTAATTTAATGAAAAATTTGTTATTTTTTATTGTTTTCCGTGAGTGAGTTATATGCAACTTGAAAAATAGTTTTCGCGGCTCCCAAGGTGAAGAGACGTGTGAGTTACATGTGCTTCACAAGCACTCGGGCTCAAAACTAGTGTGAGTTAAATACAACTCACATGGCAGTTAATGTGTAAAATATAATTTTTAGTGGCTCCTTTATAAAGATTTCAAATTATATCATGAGAATATTTTACTGCTTAATAGAATTTTTCTGGGAAAGACTGTCCTGGAAATTTCCAGCCATCTGCAAGTGTTTGAACTATGTATAGCTTGTTTGGGGTACACAAATGCCAAATATATTTTATGGGACATGAAACGTGCTTCTTCTGTGTTCTCCCTTTCTAGTAGAAGCCTCTAATAATTCAGTGATATTCCCTGAGGAAATGGGGCGATTTATAATTAGGTTCCTTTTGTTGTACTTTGGTATTGTGGGGCGTGTTTGCTGGATTCAGGATTGATTTATTACCATGTGAAAAATTTGTTCATTTCTAGAAATGAAACGCGGAAAAGACCCAGAGAGCGCCTCACATTATCGCAAAAACCTTCTGAAGGACATGCTTTGTCCAGCTTTTAAATTTCTTTGTCTACTTAAAATGAGTCAAGTGGAGGGGCTTCCACCGTATTGCTTTGTTCTATTGTCTACAACTTCTTGTAATTATGAGCTAGTAGTCATTCAATCATTCTCACCTCCATTCTAGTAAGAAAAAACTTTCAACAGTGGTGGGAATAATGAACACAAATAAGTAGACTAGAAAATAGTGATAATTGGGGATTTTTTTTTTGTGAGTGTGCCCAAATTTTCCTAAACTAGTTGGTTTTATTTTAGTAGTTTCTACAGTGTAGAGTGGCAGTTTTAAAATTTGGGTTACAAAATGGTTTTAGTCCTATCTTTGCATTTTCTGATCAGGTGGACCTCATCTCCTTTGTCTTTCTGTTATACTTACCCTTCATTCTCACTGTCTTCTCTCCTCTCAGATTTTCACTTTTCCTTTCTATTTGGCTACTTTCTCTCCAGGCCAGCCAAGGGTACTCTGTGACACTCGAAGTCCTAGTCTAACTGTAGTTGGTGACATATTGGACAAAAAAGCTGACTGCACATACTCCTAATCACATTTTAGACTGTTAAACATTGGTCTGTTATTTAAAAAATTTCAGATTTAATTCAGATATTTATATTGATTTATTATGTAGTTTAATGCAAATAATTTTTTATCATTCATTTCTCCAATAGCAAAAATTAAAATAATTATTGTTAACATTATATGTTGTATATTAACTTTCATGCATTTTGATCTCATATAGCTTATTTTTTTTTTTACAAAGAAATTTTATAAAGATTTTGAATAAAATATTGGTGAGTTTTTATAGAAGAAAGTTATTATTATTATCCTCACAATCATAAAAAGTAGGGGCTCAGTGTACTGTCAGTTATGCTATGCTGGAAAGTGAAACAAACAGGATAGACCATTGCCCTTCAGGAACTTTTGATATGGAATTTATGGTAATAACCCTGGGCTTCATAGGGGACATAAGGGCCTCAGTTAAATAAGTTTGTGAATTAAGTGTTGATGGTATTTAGAAAGGATACCTGTAATCATTGTAGTGGTGGCTGAAGACCGGGTTTGGGCAGGTGCATATAAAGGGAAAGTGTAGACCCTGCAGACCACCCATGTGATTGGGGAAGATCATGGGAGGAGAATGTAGGATTTAAAACTCCTGCCTTCTAAATGTTGTCGTATTTTCAGCATTCTCAGCTATACCTGCAAGATAAGCCCAAACTCCTAGCCTGCTATTCAAAGTCTCCCCAAGACAGCTCCCCCTGCTTCTTGGTCTGATTGTACTGCACTCTGCACCCCTGACTCCTGGCAGCAGCCTGGCTGGGCTCCTCCTCTCTACCTCTCTCTCCCCTCATCCCCCACAGCTGTCACATGGGTTCTTTGTGGTACAGCCTGGGGCCTACAATGTCCTCTCCTTTCCTCTGCTTCTACCCACATCCAAAAAAGGACGTTAAAAATGCACAAACAAAACTAGTTATCATATAGGTCGCCATCAGTTAGAGAAAGGATATGTTAACAGCCCCTATCAAGTAAGATCTTAAAAGAAGATAGTCTTACATTGAAATAAATTTTAGTATTTTTTTAAAGGTCAATAAACTCTTTTCATTTTTCACATGTTTACTGAGAACGAGTAAAAATCTTTATCAAAGACTAGCTTTCAGGAAACACTGAATTAGCCAATTGCTCTTTTACTTGGCATGCAGTTGATTTGGGCACTTCCCATATTTTATCTTATTTGTTTTATAATTATATATCTTTTCTTCCTGTCGAAATGGCACTTGTTTTGTTAATGACATCTGTCGTGCTGGGCACTCATGCAGCCCAGGTGTTTGGAAGTGAGTGGTATGTGTGTCGGACTGGGAGCACACAGAGGGTTAAGGCTGGGGGAGGCGCGATGTGCTTCAGGAAAAGCCTCGGTGGTGGAAGACTTGGGGTCCGTTTTTGATGAGGATTTGGGGAATGAAAACATAGGTGAAATAGAACATATCCCACAAAAGACTTTGAATCATTAATAAATTAATTCAAAAATGTATCAGTTTATAAGGCAATCAATATATATAGATACAAATTTTGATACTTTTATAAGATATTTTATAAAACTTTATAAAAATTTTATATTTTTATTTTATTTTATAAAAAAGATATTTTAATAATTCTATTTAAGTTTGATTCTTCATGGAAAACCTAAGATTCCTGAATAATGTTTTGATATTTTGTCCATCCCTCTCAGATTCAACTGAGAGTTTTGAGTTAAATTATGGTATTAATTGTAACTATTCTCTTCATCATATGCTAAGTGTATTTGCAATGAAATATATATTCTGGAAACATGGAAGGGGAAGAAAATCTGTTGACCACTTTAATTTTTGGTAGTTTGAAGGCATGAATAAGAATGAAGCAATAAGCCAACAGCTTCATAGTTTACGAAAAGAAGTGAAGCAGTTGCAAGCAGAAGCTGCTAAACCACCATCACTGAATGTTGTGGAAGCTGCTGTGCATGCAGAAAACTTGATTACGTAAGTTTTTTTTCCTCTTTTTTATTATTTTTTTCATAAACATCATAATTATGTAATTTTTGAATACCATTTTCTTATCATTAACAGTAATCATACATGCTTCTAATCCCCCAACCCATTAATTAAATTTGTACAGAGATGGACAAACTACTGCCTTTGGGCCAAATCTGGCCTTTTACTTATTTTTATAAAGTTTTATTGGAACACAGCCATCCCCATTTATTTATAATGTCTATGACTTTTATGTTACAAGGGCAGAGTTGAGTACTTGTAACAGAGACTTTATGGCCTGCAAACCATGAAATACTATCTGGCCCTTTACAGAAAAAATTTGCTGACCCCTGAATTATGAAACATTACAGTGCATTGAAATTCAATCATGGAGAGATTTTAGTGCTTAAATTTTATATCAAAGTCACATTTACCCAGGAAGTCATCATCGTCAACTCAGATTATTAAAGTTCACAGTATAATTGCTTGGGGGAATTAGGGCTCTCAAGTCTAGTTATTAACTTGCATTTGGCTATTGTAGCTCACACTTGGTTTCATTGTGCTACTCTCACCTCCTCTTTTCTTCCCAAAGCCACCAGGACATGACTAGAGAGGTGGGGGCTGACTCACTGCCTTTTATTTTAAGGTGACTGACTCCACATTCTGGTACCAGTAGTTGATCCCCTCAGTAGAGTGGGATGGTGTGTGGAGGGGAAGGTTGAGACTGGATCGGGGGCCTGAGAGGAAGAAGGAGATCAGGTGAACAGGAGATTGATATTTCTTTCACTGGGAAAGGAACTCAAAAAAGTATGAGCATTAGAAGGGATATCTTTATTCTAGGATCTTATTCTATATAAAAATATTTTCCTTAACCTCAGTCAGTGTTTTAGATTTTAAAATGTAGAGAAATCAGGGTTCTTGTGTTTAAAATATGTATTATATAAGGAATATAAAAAGTTAAATAATAAATTATGAATTCCATATAAAATATGAAACAATAAGGGTAAGACTGTTAATTAGTCCTTATAATATAGCTGATTTTTTTTTCCCTAGGAGAGCATAAAATCATTACTATGTTTTGAAAATAAGTGGCCAAGTAAAATTGGAAGGTACATATTTACCCCATGAAATATTTCTAAGCGACATTTGTATGGGGCTCTGAGGACTCTTTAAGAATCTTTCCTCGTAGTGTATCAAAGAAACTCTTGTGAATCTGGATTCTTTTACTGTAGAGCAGTAGTCTTACCCACATTTTCCCACAGGGCCTTAGTGAATGCCTACAAGTTGCAGCCTACACCTGGGGTTCAGAAAGTTGGCATTAGCCTTTTCTTCACTGTTGTGGATTATGTCAGCGATGAGACGCAGCGTCATCCCCCGACAAGGCAGTTCTTTACTTCATGCATTGAGATCTTGGGACAGGTAAGATTATTCCATATTTTTAGCATTGATCAGATCCAATGAATCCCTGTGGTGTCTTCATTAGATAGAGTCAGCATTGACTTCAGACTTATGTTGCAAGTTCAGAGTCTTACTTAAGTCAGAAGCCCCTCTGAAGTGTTGGCTTCTCAAGATGTGATTAGAATTGTTGGTATAGAATTTTGCTTCTCATACAAGAGATTATTTATGTCTGAAAGTCTGGGGAGACATCAGATTCTATCATATGTTGTTGGTGTTGTTAACAATAACATTACTGAAGTTCTTTATCATTTATAAAAATACTTTCCAGTTCGTTATTTCATCCTCATGGTATCTCTGTGTGGTTGATATCATTCCCATCTTAAAGATGAGGAAACTGGGCTCTAGAAGATTAAAGGACTGGTGTAAAGAATACAGCTGGTGAGTGCTGGAGCTGAGACCGGCTCCCTGGGCTTCTGGCAACATTCAGTGCTCGCTTCCGCTCACCAGAGCTGCTGCCTCCCAGTTGCTATTCTTGGTTAACATTTATTTATCTATGTGGCTTACAGTTAAATATATGGATTTTTAGCAAGGACAAGGACAATGTATTGGATTTATGCAACATGTCATAAAAAAAGGAAAACCACTTACTTAAAAAAAGTAAGAACACTAATTAACTGTGTACTCTCACCCAAGTTCAATTGAATGAGCACTTGTTTATTTGATCTTTATAAGGAAGTGATGCTGAGCAGGTATTACAATCAGTTTTTTTCTAAGGAGTTTTTTCCCTGGTCATAAAGTTAACGTGTGCTTATTATCAGCAATGCCAACGGTATAGAAAGTATAAAGAAGAAAAATTTCTCGTAATCCTAACCATGTAGAGATAATGATTACACAGCTAACATTTTATTAATTTTTCTTGTGTATGTATGTGTATGAGTGTCTGTGTATATGTAAACATGATATATCATGATACAGATGCACACTTAAAAATGAGCACATACTATTTTGTAACCTCCATTTTTCATTAAACACATCATTAGGCATTATTTCATGTTAATAAATGTAGTTTTGTATCATGATGTTGAATGTCTAAATAGTGTTCCATGACACAGATACATTTTAACGTGTAGAGCCAGTGCTCTCTGGATGGATATTTAAGTAGTTTGTTTTGCTACAATAAGGCTGAGGTAAATATTCTTATATATCTTGGTGAACTTGTTGGGCTATTTTCTTTAGGATAATTTCCTAGAAGTAAGATTGCTACGTCAAAGGGATTTGATATACATTGTGTATTTGACGTGTATTGTATAGCATTTGATGTATATTGTCACACTGTCCTCCTGGGAAGTTTGATATTTATTACTATGATATTTACACTATCATAGTGTGTTTGAATTGATTATTCTCTGTATCATAACCAACGTAAGGAATTATTATTCTTTTTAAGTTGTGATAATCTGATAAGGGAAGTGGTATTTCATTATTTTAATTTGTATTGCTTTAAATACTCGTTAAGTTGTATATCTTTTCCTGTGTGTATTGGCCATTTGTATATATTTTTATGAATTGCTAGTTGTCCTTTGCACATTTTCTGTTGGAGTTCCTTGTTTTCTGATTGCTTTGAAAGAGCTCCTCAGACAATTAACCTGCTATCTGGAATGTGCTATAAATGCATTTTTCTAGTTTGTCATTTTTTTATTTAAAATGTTATGATGCTTTTTGCTTTATAGAAATTAAAATTTTAATTTTAATATGTTCAAATCTATCAGCTTTGTCCTGTATTATTTCTGCCTGTGGTCAACCTTATCAGAGCCTTCCTGACCCTGACATTATTTAAATATTTGCTTATATTCTAGTACTGTTTAACATAAGAACCAAGTTAAAACAAGATGAAGTTATCCTGATTATATACTAATTGTGAAAGTTAGTTTTTGAAAGGTATTAAAGGCACATCTCAATAAAAAATATAACCTGGAAGTTTTGTTTTCTTGATGTAATACAGTACCATCCTAGATACTTAGTCATCATGGTGGCACATTACATTTTTTAATTCAAATTACCCCCATATTTTAATCTCTTAAAAATTTCATAGTACAGTTAACTCAGAATTTTCTACATGTGGCTTGTTCAAATCAGATTAATGGATTATCCAGAATTTTTAATGTTACCTACATTGAAATTGATAGCCTTATCTATGTTGATTTTTGATACCTTTTGATTGTTTTATATTTTCATGCAGAAAAAATTCTATTTATCTTATTTGATACCCTTAAAACTTGCTTGCTTAAATTAAGGTTGGGGAAGGAGAGTTTGGTGACAGTTTCTCTTTTTATTTTGTTCAAGGTATTTATCAGTGACACTAAATCAGAGTGCAAAAAAGTACTCCAGACCATTCTGAAGAATAGAAGGCTCTGCTCTCTTTTGTCTCCTTTCTTCACTCCCAGTGCTGCTCCTACAGAGTTCATACAGCTGTATGAGAAAGTGGTGAAGTTTCTAAGTGAGGACAACAGTGATATGATTTTCATGCTGCTGACCAAGGTGAGATGTCATTCAGTCCTGATGTTATCGTTGAAATACAGAAATGGTGGTTGCTTCCCACTCCATAGAAATGAAAGGACCTCCGGAGTTTTGTTTTCAGGTAGACCATAGGCCGAGAGGCCTTTTTCACATGTTGCATGATCTTTGAGCAGCCCGACCCCACGGCTTCCTCTTTTGGGGGTGGGGCGTTGGTTGTGTTGTGTAGGATCGTCTTATTCCACATGGTGTGAAAAGGACCTAGTTCCCAAGTCCTCTTTAAAAACTTAATACAGTTTTGAAAATATTCATAATAGTAGTTTAGTATATTCTTCTTTTAAATTTATCCTGAATTTATGCCTAACGTGTGTTTGATAAAAGAGTTGTAATATGGTAGAGTCTCTCCTATTTAGAATAAGCCAGATCTAAGCAAATTGCCTTTGTCCTCATTCTGAACAGAATATTAACTCTGTTAGAATAAAGCAATGAATTTACTTAACTAGTTGAGAATTTTAGAGTCTTGGCTATTTTGCCTTCCATTGTATTTCTCTGACATCTGAAAATAATAGTAAAAAATAAAAACCTTGGCATTTTTTAGGGCCTAGAGGCTGATCTCAGTTTGTAATGGAGGAGAATATGTTTTGTAGTTTGGGATTCTGGAAGGTAATATCAACAGTCTAAATTTTTATTAACTGAAATAGATAGGTAATTGACATAGACTGAGAAAAATTGTTCAGCTGTTAAATTGAGACAGTTCCATAAAGTGGCTGCTTGTTTGTGGCATTGTGACCAGAGAACTACAAAGTTCTGGTTCTGATTCAGGTCTTACAAAAGAAACTTGCTATAATAAGACAGACAGAAATGCATGGATCTTTCAGGAACAGAATAAAATTATAAACCAATAATGAATAGTCAGTAAGGTTTTTAAATTACAAGAAAACCACACAGAGCTAAGGAAACTCTGCCTCTGAGATCCCAGAGAGTAAAGTAGAAATGGCATCAATTAGCGAACTTCTTATATTCTTTTATGCACTTATGTACATTTTAGTTTCAATTTTTATAAAATGTTACACAGAGACCTCTCTCTACTTCAGTTAATTTTCTAGTGTAAGTAAAATGCTTCTCGTTTCTTTTTCTTTTTAGTTCGATCTTAAGCAATGGTTAAACGCCACTAAACCTCCTCTGTCTGATCGTACCAGGCTGCTGAAGTCCATTCATTTGGCACTTACTGCCTGGGGCCTTGAACCAGATGAGGATATTTTGATGCCATTTAATCTTTTCTGTAAGCACTGGACTTACCTTCTTCTCTACCAGTTTCCTGACCAGTACAGTGACATTCTCAAGCTGCTGATGCAAAGTAAGTGTCTTCATTTAATTGTGACTAACTAGATCTCAGTGAATATCGAATATCACATTTTCCATTCTACAGATGTCATCTAAAAATGTAAAAATAATACGAATACAGGAGTTTAGTCACTAATCATCACCTAAAGGGCTGGGTGAATAATGCCCAAAAAGTTATCTGTAAAAATGGTAAATTACTGTCCTAAATGTTAGAATGGGCTCTAAGTGGGTAAGGCAGCATCTAGTGCTTGGTGTTGGAGTTCCACGGTCATGCACCCACCTCTTCACCTTGACTTTGCAGCTGTCCTGAAGTGGGGTGGGCTGGGGTGGGAGAGGGCTCGCCTGTAATACAGATGACAGATGTGGTCAGGGAGGGAAGTTGCACCTTTACAGTATGTTTAGTATGCAACTTGGTTTCTTTGTAGTTGCAAAGAGTAAATACATTTTGGGGATTTTTTTCCCTTCTAATTTTTTGACTCTGGTTTTTTGCAAATGAATTTTATCCCTATATAATGATAGACTGTATTTATATTTGCCAAGGGAAAGAGCAGTGTTAAAATTTCCACATTCTCACTATTCCTGTCCCCTCTTCCTGCAGTTTTCCATAGAAGTGTTAGAGGTTAGAGGAAGAATGAATGGTGTAGGCTTTTTTTATTCTTGGAATTTCACTAGGCAGTAATTTTATTGAAATTTGATAAATGAAATAGTATTTACTTTTTTATGCAAACCTCATACTGTTTATAGATGTAATGGAAAACTAAATTTTACTTTATATCAAATCTTTTTGTTACTTTTTTTTTTATCCAATGGAGTTTTAATTAAATAAACACTTACAGTACATGGTGTTTTCAATATAAAATCAGTGTTAGGGTGTCCCGTGTTAATAATAACAAGTTATTCATTGATTCAGCAAATATTTGAGTGCTTATGATGTGCCAGGCACTGAAGATACATGAATGAACAAAACAGAAAAATCTCTGTATGTAGTAAATATTATTAGTATTTTAAGTAATATTTAACTTAGGTAACATAGAGTTTCTTCAATAACTTCTACCAAGTTTTCTACTTTAAATCTACCATAAACAAGTTTAAATAGATACTTCTTTTCCAGTTAGTATTTCACAAGCATATGTTGCTGTTAAAACATAGAATGGTAGACTTGAACAAAGAAACCGAAGAATTTGCTCTCAAGGAGCTGGTACCAGTTGAAAGGAAGGGAGCTTTTCCATGGGTGTGGACGGGGGATGGGGGGGGAAAGTAAAGTTAGAACTATGCATATTAAAGCATGGGTGTAAGACAGTGATAAACACCTTTGACTTTTAGAGACAGGCCAGTAGGTTTTGAAAGTTGTTTGGTTGTTTTTGTTTTTATTATTATTAATTTTATAAGTATTAATAATCTTGTTCTTTCCACCTGGAATACCTCATCCCTGGGACACCTTTTTCCCATGCCCATTTCTCTGCCTAGGAACTTCTATTTGTTCTTTAAGAACTTGACTCACATATCACCTCCTCTGAGAAGCCTTCCCAAATCCCATCTTCCCAAACCTCCAACACTCTGGAATCCCACAAAAATGTGCTCAGATTTCTATTATAGCCCAAGTTATATTATAAAGTGTTCATTTTCATATCTCCTCCTTGTACTAAATTCAGAACTCCTCGAGGGCTAGGACTGTGTCTAATTATTCCTTGTAGTTTCAGTGCTTAGCTCAGCTCATTGTAGGTGCCCAGGGAAAGTGAGATTGAATGAATCAGTCATCACACCTTGAGGATCCTGTGTCTTACCAGGTACCATGCTAAGAGACGTAAAGTTAAAAAGATCAGGCCTTTGGACCCTTAAAGTTCATAAACAAATTGAGGATGTGTTCCTATCTTTCAATTCTACATTATAAAAACCCAACACAAACTAGCTTAAAAGGAAAAAAGAATGTGGGCAGAGGACAGAATTTATTTGTCCTAGGCAGGTTACTTTGATTAATAGTTTTAGGAATAGCTGAATCTAAGGTCCAAGGGTTTCCAACAATGTTATCCTCCAGATTAGATCTCTTTCTATAACCTGCTCTTGGGTGGCTTCATCCTCAGGAATTTTTTTTTTTTCCATTGTGAAAGTCCCTCACAGCTTCATGTTTACATCCAGTTGTAGCAAAAATAGAGCTTTTTATGCCAATGGTCCGAGCAAAAGTCCTAGGAGTAATTCTCAATGCTTTTAATTGATTCACCTGCCCTTCACTGAACCCATTATAGTAACTCTGAATAGGCCTACGTCACATGCCTACCTCTGGATTTGGAAGTGGGGTTGACCCCATCCAAATCATATGGATTAAAAGCTAGGGAAGGTTATTCACTAGAGGAAAATCAAGTTGCTGTTACTAAAAGGGGAAGAAGATAATAGGCAAGCAAAAACCAACACATGTCCTCCATAGAGGAGATGTTCTATACATCAGTAATTACATGGTAAGGCTAGGAGTGATGTCTGTCTTAAGTGCTTACAGCCAAAGATTAGGTAGGAGAAATGGATCACTTCAAGGACAGCTATCCACAAACACCTTCTAGGAGGAAGCCTATGAACTAGGCCTTTTGGACAGGTAGGATTACGGTAGGTGAAGATACATGGAAAGGCATGAACAAAGGCAGGGAGGTGAGGATCCTTTGGAGGTTTTCCAAGTTTGCTGGGAACTTTTGGGAATTAAGTCTGGAACTTTGGTTAGGGGCTAGATCTATACATAGTCTAATAAATGCTAATCCTTTCTGCAGATTTCTTCCATATATGATCTCAAAAAAGAGTAATTTTGGCAGGCACCAGGAGTAGGATTATTCTTCCCATGTTACCGATGGGGCAAGTGAGGCCTAGTGTAAGAGATGCCTGCTGAGAGTTCACCCTCTTGTGTCCACAGATGGAACAGCACAAGAAACCCAATTTCTGCCCTCCCGCGCAGGACTGTGCCCCTCTCCCCATCCACAGTAAAAATAAAATCTAGGGTTGGAAATCACCAGGACAGCAGCTGTGGCTCAGCCCCAAGGCCAGTCTGAGGACAGCTTTGCAGGAAGCTGTGGAAACAACCATATAGGCAGAAAGAAGGCATCTGACTTGCCTCATGGCTAAGAGCAGAGACTCTGGAGTCAGCCCTGGTTTTGATTCTCAGTTTCATGAGTTAAGTTATTACACTGAACAGATTATATAACTTCTCTAAGCCTTAGTTTCCCCATCTGTAAACAAGGAAAAGAACAATACCTGTCTTATAGGATGGTTCATGAGGTCTGAATGAAGTATTGCAGATTAAGAACTTAGCACTCCCTCATCCGATCTGGTCTCCTCCTCTTCTTCTGGTCTGGTCTCCTCCCAAATCTTTGTGTTACTTAATAGGAATTGTTAATGGCTAAGTTAATGATCCAGTGTCTTAGGTTACCTGAAGGATCCTGAAATGTATGGTCTCTCATTTTCAAAGCACTTCAAGTTTTAATTGTTTCCTACAGAGGCAAGTTGCAGAGTGGTGGAGAGTGGTGGAAGAGAAATATATTTATATGAATTTTAATGAATATGTGCATACCTAATTTTTGTTCTAAACTTTTAAAATTTGATTAAGTATATATTGTGGGTTTTTCCCTGAAACCTTTTAAAGAGATTATAAACTGTTTATATAGACCACCATTTAATTGCATTTAGCAGGAAATTTATACTTATCAGGAAAAGTAATTCAGTTACAGGATTAAGAATAGCAATATCACATCTCTCAGATTCCATGACCTGTAGCCTCCTGATTTCCTGTCCCTCCATGGCTACCATGTTGGTATTCCCAGGGTTCCATCCTTCACTCTTCTACCATGTGCATTCTCCCTGCGGGAGCCATTGTTTTCCCTGGCTTCACTGCCATCATCCAGGTATGCATGACTCCCACAACAATAGCTTGATTTCCAGGCCACTGTCCTAAGGTCCAGACCACAGTAGCCATTGGACATAGATCCATCACTGTCCCCTGGATACCCTACACTTGACATATTGCAACTGGCCTCATCATCCTTCCCCTAGGACTTCCGGTAAACCTCTGTTACCCTATTTGATTCTCATGTCCCCGCTCTGGGTGAAAAGAACTTTAGGAGATATTATTCCTGTCTTCTGGCATGGGAGGTTTGTAAGTAGCAAAGTTGGGACTAGTTGGGAATACTGGCTGGTAGACTCCACTTTTCCATGTTGCCTCTGGGTCTTGATATAGATTTTGTCCATTGTAGGAGTGGAATTTTAGGGCTAGTAGCAGACTCCTTCATGAGAGTCTAGAGTGCACCCAGTCTCCCTCATCCTGTCACTGCTGTCTTTCTCGTACCCATAGATAGCTGTGGTCCTCCAGCCAGGAGAATGGCACTGTCACCATTCCCTAGTCAGGGTTGGAGGGTTTGGTCCCCTCATCCCCGAGTCCACCTCCACTGGCTTCAGCAGCGCTCTCTACCACAGGGTCACCAGGAACAAGGAAAATCAAACGTCTAGTTGATCAGTTAGTTCTTTTCATAGGTTCTCTTTTCTTGGATCTCTAACCTCGGGTATCCCTATGAGTTTGTTTTGGGATTTTACTTGATTTTTATTCCTTTTGTGAAGTACACATGTTCTTTGATGGAAAAGTTAGTTTGGGAAAGATGCTGACTTGCTCTTCCTTGCCCTTGCCCATAGGCTCCGCGGAGCAGCTGCTGAGCCCGGAGTGTTGGAAGGCCACTCTGAGAGCCCTGGGCTGCTGTGCCCCGAGCTGCCAGCAGGGGGCGGCTTCTGCTGAGAGCACGGTGCTTGTGAGCTCTTCAGATGCTCTTTTGTCAGACAAGCAGGTGTGTAGCTTTTGGTCTGTGATGTGTTTGTACATTCTTTTCCCTTTCCCTTGCTATTTATTTTTTAAACATTTGGAATACTTTTATGCATTATCTTTAAGAGAGCCTTATGCTTTTCCTTGTCCTTTGCTTCCCCATGTCCTCTTTACTCGGATCGTTTCTCTCATGCTCCCAAGTCTAATTCTTGCCCATCTACCCAAGACCAGGGCAGGGGCTCCACCTGTGAAAACCTTTCCTGCCCACTTTGGCCCATCCGACTCAACCCTGAGACCACTGGTTGAGTTTCCATAATGCAGTGTCCCACGGAGCTGTCGGTTTTATCAATAATATCTGAATTGGTTCACATGAGGATTTATTTGAAATAATGATTCTGCTGCTTTAGAAAGCGTTTGAAATCCATTGATTTATTTTTCATAGGTTTTTTATCTTTGCAACTCTATTATAAAGTGAAAGATCTACTATACCCCCATCACAGGGTGTCATCATACCGTGCTAAAAGTAGACGTTCAGCATTTTTTGACTAATCATCTCTTCCAGGTAATGGAGACTATACAGTGGCTTTCAGACTTTTTTTATAAGCTTCGGTTATCCAAGTTGGACTTTAAAAGCTTTGGTTTATTCTCAAAATGGAGCCCTTACATGGCTGATGTGAAGACATTCTTGGGCTATCTCGTGAAAAGGCTGATTGACTCAGAAATGGCCTGCTTGGCCCAAGACCCATCTGCCAGCAGCAAAACAGGTAATATACTTTTAGTGCAATGTGGAGCTAGGTGTTTTGACCTTCCAATAGAAGAGATTTAAATAGACACGTTAGGAGATTTATATTGAGTGTCAAGGAGAGAAAATAGAAAACACGTAGTACAGGCGTGAGCCCATATGTGTGTCATCCCTATATTCACTGTATAGTGAACGTAGAATGCTTGCTACAGCTCACACTGCCCCTCCTTCACAGGGTGGGGTACAAAGACATGCATTTCAATCTCCACCTCTTTCTTTCTGTTATTTGTTTCACTAAGGAAAGGGTTCTGAATATTTGTGCATTTATTTTAAAAATGTATGTTATAAAATTACCCATGACATTGTCCTGTAATAAAAAGTCTTCAGAGAAATTCCACTGGAGCAAATGAAAACACAAATATAGTAACACTAAGCATGTTGTTTGCATATTAACATAGGCTTACGAGTATACAGATAATAAGTAGATTTTCTGTATAGTGTTATCAGTGATATTGACGAAAGATGAGCTTATTTCTTGTCTCTAAAAATTTTGCTTCGTTTTAGTGCTTATGTCTCTCCATTCAGTAATCATTCAGCTCTTTAAGCCGTGGATCCTGGTTTTAGAGGACAATGAAAGGTAAATAGTTTTTCACATATTCAAATTCCTGTGAGATTTATAGACTTACAATTCTTCTGGTATTTGGTAGAGGCGATGAGTTCACAGATTTAATTTTTAGTGTATTTAAATTTAGCAAATGCTTTTTTACAAAACTTTAGACATTTTCTATTTATGGAATTGCTTGTCTGGGTGATCAGAAATGTTGTCTTGATATTAATTTTGGAACAGAACTGGGCTCTTATTTCCAGTTTTCCACAATAAAGAAGTTGAATGAGCTTTGGTATTTAATTTCATAAAAATCGATACTACTGAGGTTTCTCTTAGTTATTGATAATATAACAAACACTATAAAATATGAGGTTAATTTTCTCTACTACATCAGTTATTTTTGGAACTCAGTTGGCTATCAAATTATTGGGTGGGAATTACTCTTTAAACGTGGAACTCTGCAGTTAAAGCATTATTTCATAAGCATTTGAAGTATTTTGAGGTGTGGAACTGTCCAAATGCAGTGAGTTGCCTTTTGAGTCTTTTTTTCCCTAAAAATACACATACAGAACTAGGTAAACTTGTTAGGAGTTTTATAAAAATTGCAAGAGTGGTAGACATCACATTATACAAGGTGTTTTCCAAAGCAATGATTTGATCCCAAGACACAGAGAACGTGAATGTCATACTCAAGTCTCACAGCTGGTTGGTTAGTGCCAAAGCCTGGGACTAGAGCTCCGGTCTTTGACTTCTGTTTCAGGACTCTTAGCATTAACCATGTTGTTTCAAGTGCTGCTTAGGGAAAATGTGAAAGGCTCTGGATCTTTGCTTTTGCTAGCGGGCTATCCTTAAGTAATCTGTAAGCTTCAGAATTTTATAGTGGCTACATATAGACTGCTGACCATAGTGCTGGCTGCTTGTTTATTTCCAGAAAGAATTAATGGATTTTTTACTTTTTTTTTTTTCTTAAAGATGAGGTCTCACTGTGTTGCCCAGGCTGGCCTTGGACGCCAGGGTTCATGTGCTCCTTCTGCCTCAGCTTCCTGAGTAGCAGGGTTAGAGATGCGCCACCGCATCTGGCTTAGGAGCTTATTTTGATATTGAAATTTTTGGACCAGATTGAGCAATTAAAATTTTTGTATAGAGAATTTCTTTGGCTATTTCCCGTCTGTCAATTTCTGGCCATCTTTTTGTTACGTGGGTTTTATTTTTTGTTTTTTATGCTTAGGGTAAAGAAAACTGTTTGTTGAAGCCACCTTAAGGTGTTTTCTAAGGCATTCGAAATGTAACCAGGATGTTCAAAGATCTACATTCAGTGTAAAAAGAGGTTAATTTAAGAGTTATTGAGATAGCACACTTATGAAACTTAATTGCACTGGAATAAAGGTTAGAAAATGGAGAAAATAAAATGATATGGTTGATGTTACAAGCTACAATTTACCTCTAGGTATCTATAGCCTTTGAAGTGGTCTAAATGTGTGTTAGGGCTACATCACGGAGGGTTTTCTAGGACTTAGGCTATCCCCAGACTCTGGGACCTATAGTGATTTAATCATGGGTGCTTTCATTTCTAAGTGTGTTTCTTTTCTCTAAAGCAGCCAACGGCGACATTACCCCTGGCTGGAGAGTGATGCTGTGGTGGCCTCAAGCATTGTGCAGTTGTTCACCGACTGTATTGACTTACTGCATGAGAGTTTTAAAGGTAGGAAGATGTTGTGTTCTATGTTGGGTTAGTTTTCATTTTTTTCTTAAGCCATTCAGTCAGCCTTGTGCTTCTGCTTTCCTCCTTTAATTTTAGTTGATAGGCAGTTATCTGTGACCAAAGAAAGGTCACTAATACAGTTAAACTTAGTATTAAGTTTATAAACTATTTTTTTCATGAGGTTGGTGTGAGTTTGTCAGTTATAGTCATTCTCGCTTCCAATACTGCCTATCCTGCATGTTGAACTTCATCCTATACTCCATGACTCTTAAACCTCTTTTTCATATTTTTTGTCTTTTGCGCTTTATCTTGGGTGATTTCTTGAGGTCTTTCTATCTAGGTTTGCATAAAATATGTTAATTGACTTTTTAATTTCAGTGATTATATTTTCCATTTCTAGAAAATCTATTTTTTTAAATAAAGCGAAGTCTTGCTATGTTGCTCAGGCTGGTCTCAGACTCCTGGCCTCAAGCGATTCTCTCGCCTTGGCCTCCCACAGTGCTGGGATTACAGGCATGAGCCATTGGGTCTAGAAGATCTATTTGTTTGTTTTTCACATCTACCTTGATCTTTTTTTGCTAACATCTGATTTCTTTCTCTTGTTAAAATTCTAATTTTTATTTCCTTAGAATGTTTAAACATGCTGACTTTACTTTATGATCCACATCTAATAATTCTGTTATCTGAAGTTCCTGTGGTGGGGGGTACTTTATGCTGCTGTTTGATGTTCCCTTGGACTCTTATTCTTGGAGGCTTATTTCCTTGTGTGTTTTGTAATTTTGTATTGTGAGCTCATATTTAGAGAGACATTGCATATGGAAATACCGTGAGGTCTATGCTGAGGGTATGTAAGGCCTCCAGAGAAGATCTACATTTGTTGTCAGTTGGAACCACTTAATTTCTTGGCTTGGGCTTGTCCACACTACAAGTTACATGAAATCAAACCCCAGGCTCACTCGAAGGCAGGCCTCAATTCCCACAGTAAACTTTTTTCTCTTCCCTGACTTGGAGTCCAGGCTAAGGCAGAGGAGTTTCCTCTTTTCCCTCCATCATTCCTTTCAATGACGATATGGTCTTTAGAAGACCTTGTCTTCTGTCTTCTTGTGCTGTTAGAACCCAACAAATAGTCCTAGGGCAACTGGCTTTAGCATTAGCTCAGCACCCTGGTTTCCTAGTTTCTCTTTGCTTCTGGCCCCTAGTGTGTTTGCTCACTGAGTGTACCCAGCTATACATTCTCAGAGATGTTACATTTTACCTGGTGTCTGAATGTTTTATATTGGGAGGTTTATAAGGATATGAGGTCCAGCCAACCGAGATTCTTGTAATAGCATCCCGTTTTTACTATTTCCTGTTTCTGTGCCTGCCTATTTACTAGATTAATTTTCTGAAAATACTATTTATGTCCTGTGATAGTCTTATTCAGAAACTTTTAAATGTAATATCTTAGCTCAGCATTCAAATGTGTCTGGCCTCAGTGCACTTCACCAACGTTGTGTGATGGTTTTCATATGGAAACACTGCATTCCGGCCATACTACTCTATTCGCTGGTCCTAAAAGTCCTTGGACCTTCCCTCTACTGCTTGTTTGCTCATGTGGATTCCACCACCTGGATGAAGCCCCAGGCCCTTTATGTTCTCCTGCATATGCCTTTATGCTCGTACATTTCTCTTCTGCCTCGGAAACCTCATAGTGCATTGTTGTAGTTTGGGTCTTTGGGAAGCAGGCAGCATGATGGAATTAGAATTCCAGAGATTCATGTGGGGTAAAGCCTGTGAAGGTAAGAGGGACGGGAGCAGGAGCAGGCAGGGAAAGCCTGCAGACCTCATGCAGGTGTGATGCCTGTGAAAGGAGAGCCTAAGACTGCCATGCAGCTCTGACTAAGTATCATCCAGCCCAGTGGGCAGATCCAGTCTAAAAATTCCTCACCGAGGAGCCCCTCCTTGGGCAGCAGTGGCCAGGCCTGTGCTTGGTCCTTGGCTGCCTGGGAAGAGTGTGGCCTCGACTCAGATGCTACGGTGGATCCTAAAGGTGCTGCAGCTGGATCAGCAAGGGCTGCATGAAGGGAAATCCAAGGGGTACACCTCTCTGGTTGCCACGTGTTTGTGTGGCCCTTAGTCATAGCATTAGCAATATGTCATCTAGTGTTTTTCTTTTTTTAAGTAATGGATTTTAGTTTTTGTTTAACTGACTTTGTTTTTTAGAGCAGTTTTAGATTGATGGCAAAATTGAGTGAAAAGTACAGAGTTCCCATGGACCCACTGCTCCCCACTCTTGACATCCCACACCAGTGAACATATTTGTTGTAACTGATGAGCCTACGTTAAGGCATCGTCATCACCCAAAGCCCGTAATTTACATTGGGGGTCACTGTTGGTGGTGTACGTTCTCTGGCTTTGGACAAATGGATAATGACACGTGTCTACCATTGTAGTACCATACAGAGTAGTTTCACTGTCCAAAAAATCCTCTGCACTCTGCCTGTTCATCCCTCCTTCCCCTCAACCCCTGGCAACCACTAATCTTTCACTATCTCCATAGTTTTGCCTTTTCTAGAATGTCATGTAGTTGGAATTGTACAATGTGTAGCCTTTTTAGATTGGCTTCTTTCGTTTAATAATACACAATTGTCTTTTCATGGCTTGATAGCTCATTTCTTTTTGTCTGGATGTACCTCATCCAGTATTTTTGATTAATCTTTTACATATACGATCTCGTCTTTTTTGCCCAGCTGTAAGGTATAAACTCATATTCTCAGTGTTTGTTTGATAAATATTGATTCAGTGAGTAACATGAAATCCTAATAGTATTCACTTTTTTTTTGGAAAGGCAGACTTCTAGGTGCTTTTTACCATCCAGGATATATTGATTAGTGAGAGAAAGATTTGTACATCAAACTATAGTCATAAAGGCTTTATATTCAATTTCTTAGTAT